CCCCAAGTAGAATATATCGATTTTCGGGAATTTTCCAAAATTTCGATCAGGCTACAACTGCCTTGTGCATGGCCGGTCTAGCCGATATTCCATTTTTGATTTTTATTGAAAGTCTCTATATATTTTATTGGATTCTATAAATGCGAAATGGATTCTGGACTAGCAAAAAAGTGAGTTTTAATAGTTTTTTTATTAATTCTCAGCGTCAAAATCTTCAACTTCAAAAATGCGTCAAATTTTCTCTTAGAAAATCTGTTTACTCACAGATTTTAGCTAGCTTTCATTAAAATTTCTAAACTTCTCATGAAATTCCCGTCATTTTGAGCCCAAACTCGACTATTTTCTGTTGGTTTCTAATTTTCGCCAACCCGACCGCAACGCTTCTGGGACGTGTCGCGGTCGAAAATCAAAGTTGACCAAAATAGGTCGTGTTGGGGGTTTAAATGTCAGAAATTCGATGAAAAATACAAAAATAGCAATTTTCACTATTTTTAACTTCATTTTGGCCAAATTTGGGCATTTCTGATCTTTGGCGCCATGTCATATTTTCTCCAATGACGGTTAACTTGCCGTAAATTATTATTTTATTATGAAATTTCCGACATTTTAAGCCTAATATTGACTATATTTGGTCACTTTTGATTTTCGACCGTTCCGACCGAAATCAGCGGTCGAAGCGGTCAAAAATCAAAATTGGCCAAATGTAGCCAATATGGGGCTCAAAATGACGGAAATTTTATGAGAAACTCAAGAAACGTATTTTCAATCACAATTGAATTTATTTTTCAGGATAAAATTTTATTTAATTGAATTTATTTTTCAGGATAACAGACCACTGCCACCCCCAAGAGAAGCCAACGGCGTCAATAATTCTCGATTCCTTTGTGTCCCCAGTTTCCCCAGCTTTCTCTGCCATTCTTTGCTTCTCGTCCAGCAACTGCTATTCCACGCGTCGCAGCTCGCCATGGTCGACGTTAAAACCTTCAAGCAATTCTAGATTGGCTTTCTGCTCGACTCGCTGCAGCCCCTGTTCAAAAGCCTATTGCTTTAGGAGCTCAATATGTTGCTCCAGTTGCCCTTGACCCAGAAGCTTCTGCCGAGGTTCCAAAGGGTCTTTCTCCAGAAGCTCCAGCCGCTGTTCAGAAGCCTTTTTCTCCAAAAGCTCCATCTGCTGATCCAGCTCCCTTCGAGCCAGAAGCTACTGCCGCAGCTCCAGTCAGAGAAGAAGCGCCAGAGGCTGTTCCTGATCCTCTTGCGCCAAAGGGTTTTATTCAAGCTGCAGCATCTCCAGTAAGAACTTTGGAGAACGAAATTAAACAGGTTCGTTTCAGATTTTTCTTTAGACTTACACTAACTACAAAAATAAAATAAAACAAAACATAATTTCAGCGTGAGCGAGAAGTCGAATTTTCGGAGGATACAGGAGTTTTTGATCCTGCGGTTCATGCAGATAAAGATTATGAATTTGGTGGTATCGTGTTTGATGAACCAGATCAAACTGAAAACCACGATTCTCTACCGAATCCACACAGGGACCCAGAAGTAACTGTTGAGCAGGAGGAGACAATTCAACCATCGGTAAATTGAATGGTTTCTTAAGAGCTGGAAATGAGATCTTACTTGGAGATCTTACTTGCATACGGATATTAATCAAAAATAGAATCAACATGAATTTCAGGAAACTCGCTCTCCATCTCCGGAAATTTCGGTTCAAGAAGATCCTGTCCATGAAAGAGAGCGAACGCCGGTTCTTCGTCCAGCAGAAGCACCAGAAACACCAGCAGAACCAGCAGGACCGGAAGGACCGGTAGGAACAGCAGGGCCAGCAGGACCAGCAGGACCAGTAGGATCAGCAGAACCAACAGGACCAGCAGGGCCAACTGGACCAGCGTCACCAGCGGCTGCACCAGCAACACCATCAAAAACAGCAGGACCAGTAGGAACAGCAGGAAAGGCAGGACCAAGATCACCAGCAGCTGCACCAGCAACACCATCAAAATCAGCAGGACCAGTAGGAACAGCAGGGCCTGTAGGAACAACAAAACCAACAGGACCAGCATCACCAGCAGGATCAGAATCACTAGCAGCTGTACCAGAAACACCAGCAGAACCAAGCACACAAGCAGCACCTGCAGCACAAGCAACGCTAGCAGCCCCAGCCGCACCAGCCACACCAGCAGTCACTCCTCAGAGAAAGAGCGGACGCAAGCCGGTTAGTAACAGTTTCATTTCATATATGGACCCAAAAGTTGATATGCGTTACGAAGAAAATATGTTTTAAAATCTATATTTTGCAGCAGACCAAGAGAGCTGCATCAACTCCAGCTGCTTCTGCTGTGAAGCGCGGACGTCAAAAGAAGGAGGCGAAAATAGAGGAGGAAAGTGAATTGCAAGACGTAAGTTATAAATATTTTGACGGAATTTAAAAAATCGATATTTAGTGCTTTGTATGCCCCGGTTGCGAACTCCCGGCTGGTCTCACTGGCAAGAAGAAGCCTAAATAAAAATTTGCAACAAATTACAGAAGGACACCGAGCCGAAGCGCCGTTCTGCTCAAATTAGAGCTTTTGATAAAGTTGTCTTCAATCTTTGTGTTTAAAAATTTGAGTTTGACCACTGCCACCCTGCTCTTCTCCATGTCCAAGAAATGGGGATCGCCGGATTTTCAATCAAATAACGGCGTGTCACGGGATGAATGGAATCTCGCTACTCCTCAACGTCGGAATCGTTGGAGGTTTCAATTTTCAGGTAATTTCAAATTATAAACAAATTAGAAACATCAAAAAACAAAATTTCTAAAATTTTGAAATTCAACGAACTACCGTCGTTTGTATTTTTAATTATTTTAAAGTAAAATATTGAATTCAGCTCATGATTAGCTTCAAAATGAGCCCAAACACGACCTATTTCCGTCAAAGCTGGTTTTCGACCGTCGACCGCGGGCGCGGTGCTGTCGAAAATCAAAGTTCATAAAAAGAGGTCGAGTTTGGGCTCATTTTAAAGCTAAAAACGCGCCAAATTCGAATTCGCTATTTTCAAAAACTCAAATATTTAATTTTTCAGTGAAAATGGGGACAATACCAACAACGCCAGGAAGCAAGTTCAAAATGCTCAAAATGCGCCAATTAAAATTTTTAAATAAATTTTTTGAACTCCAGAAATGATTGTTTAAGACTCATTTTAATCTTAAAAAAAACAGAGATTTTTGAGAACACGAACACAATTTTTTTTATTAATTTAAAAAATCGCATCATCGTGTGTTTTCTATATTCTTGTCTTCCCGTTGGACTTTGTTGGTCGGGACCTTGGAACGGAATCCTGAAATTTAGTACATGTTGAAAAAATTCCTGACGTTTTGAACCCCATCTTGCCTATACTTGGCAAATTTTAAATTTTGGCCGCCGACGGTCGAAACGGTCGAAAGTCAGAATTGACCAAAAATATGCAAGATGGGGCTCAAAATGATGAAAATGATACAAACAGTTTCATTTGAAATAGTCTGATCAATTTTAGGGAAAACTTTTGAAAATTTTGATTTTTTTGATTTTTGGAGACAACAATCATAAACTCTTGTTTCAACAAGAATTGTTCTGAAAATACTTGAAGTTAAGATTTCTGAGTTTTTAATAGAATTTCCGTCGTTTTGAGCTCCGTATTGCCTATATTCGGTTGATTGATTTTGAGTTTCGACCGCCGGCGGTCGAAACGGTCGAAAATCAAAATTCACTATATATAGACAACACAGGGACCAATTTGTCAGGAATTTTGTGAGAAACTCGAATATAAAAGTTACAGAGCAGTTTGATCAGTTTCAGGTACAATTTTTGAAAGTTTTGATTTTTGGATTTTTGGCGCCAAAAATCATAAACACCCAAAATCGGCCGCAGATGTGTTAATGATAGTGAAATCACCATTTTTGAAGTTTTCATCAAATTTCTGATATTTTGAGCCCAATATTGCCTATATTCGACTTAACTTGAATTCCGACCGCCGCCTGTGGTCGAAACGGTCGAAAATCTAAATTCGCTAAGTATAGGCAATATGGGGCTCAAAATGTCAGAAATCTCATGATAAACTCAAAAGTGATATTTTTGGATTCTAAAACTCACCATCTGAAGCATGGCATGTCGTATTTGAAGAAGCGATTACGACGTTGGCTGTTCTAATTGGCACGACAGATGCGACATAAAGTCAATCGTTCAAAAAAGTTGAGATTGACTCGAAGCATACATCCAAAATGGTCCAAGCCGTTTTTGGGTCTTCGGGATACCCAATCTTTATAGTATCGAAGATGAAGTGTCGGTTGAAAGCCTCGAAGCCATAGGAAATCTCCTTCCAACACACTTTTTGGGATCTAGAAGCAAGAAAATACAACTTTTCGTAAAATTTCTGACGTTTTGAGCCCCATCTTGCCTACATTCGGTCAATTTTGGTTTTCGACCGTTTCGACCGCGGTCAAAATTCAAAATTGACCAAATACAGGCAATATGGGGTTGAAAAAGTCGGAAATTTGATGAAGATTTTGAAAATGATGATTTCCACTTTTTTAAACTCAAGTTCAGCCTAATTCCGGCAATTATAGTTTTTGGCGCCAAAAATTCAAAATTCAAAAAAATGCAACTTTTCGGGCCTTGAAAACAATTTTCACAATTTTACGCCTATGTCATTAGGATTTTCAGAATTAGCACAAAATTCGACATCGAAATGACCTATTTACCGATTTTTGCATTTTTGGCTCAACTGGGTAGATGGGTGACTGGCGATCTAGAGGTCAGGGGTTCGAACCCCACCGCGGGTCAAATTGTTTGGTTTTTGTTTTTAGAATATTTTTTGGTGTTTTTGAGCTATTAGAAGCTTTCTCTAAAAGTTTTGTCCAAAAAGCCCGAATAAAGAAGTACAACCTATATTTTTCAGTATTTCATTTGTAAAAAAAAATTGAAACTCACTTTTTAAGGTCCAAAATTAGAATTTATGAAATTCAAAAAAATAAATATAGAAATTTTCAGAAAAAAATAAAAATAGAATATCGGCTAGACCGCCATGCACAAGGCAATCGTAGCCTGATCGAAATTTTGGGAATTTTACATCAAAAATTGCCAAAAATCGACATATTCTATTCTGGGGGTGAGACAACCTTCCGAGATGACATTTGGATTGTTGAGTGAGGCGTTTCCTTGTTTTCACCGTTCTGTCTAACCACTCTCCTCTTTTCTAATGCTCTCTAATGCAGAGAGACGGCTGAGTGGCGGCCGTCGGGCTGCCGATTACTTAATACAACAGCGAGAGTATTGAAAAGGAAGAGACGAAACGCAAAATGCATCTATCCGGTCCTCCTCGCGTCAGTCAACCACCACACCACCATCTCGGATGGTTGTCTCACCACCCAAGTAGAATATATCGACTTTTGGGAATTTTCCAAAATTTCAAAATTTCAAAAACATTTAGTTTCTTTTTTAATTTGACTTCGGCCAGAATCGGGTTGAAAATAATTTTAAACTTTGATTTCCGAAATCTTTAAGAATTTCCCGTCGTTTTAAGCCCCATATTGCCTATATTGAGTCAATTTTAAATTTCGACCACCGGCGGCGGTCGAAACGATCGAAAACCAAAATTGACCAAATACAGGCAATATGGGCCTAAAAATAATGGAAATGATATGAAAAGCTGGTAAAAATTCGTTTCAAGCAGTTTTAGGGACATTTTTCGAGAATTTTGATTTTGTGATTTTTGGCGCCAAAAGCATAAATTCCCATTTTCAACAAAAATTATTTTGGAAATACTTGAACATGATTTTTAGGGTTCTCATGAAATTTCCGTCATTTTGAGCCTCATATTGCCTATATTTGGTTAATATTAAATTTCGACCGCTCGACCGCCGAATTCGGTCGAAATTCAAAATTAACCAAATCTAGGCAATATAGGGCTTAAAATGATGGAAGTGTCATGAAAAACACAAAAATGATAGTTTCAAGCAGTTTGATCAGTTTTAGAGAAAATTTTCGAAATGTTTGATTTTTTGATTTTTGGAGCCAAAATTCATAAATTCCCATATTCAACTAAAATTGGGTTGGAAGTGCTTGAAATCATGATTTTCGAGTTCTACATAGAATCTCCGTTGTTTTGAGCTCCATATTGCCTATATTTGGTCAATTTTTGAATTTCGACCACCGGCGGCGGTCGAAACGGTCGAAAACCAAAATTGACCAAATATAGGCAATATGGGGTTCAAAATCTCAGAAATTTCATGGATAACTCGAAAATCACATTTTCATTCACTTTTTTGAAAGTTTAAAGTACAAGATGGGGCTCAAAATGTCAGAAATGCCATGAAAAATTGTATTTTCTTGCTTCCAGATCACAAAAAATGAGTTTTGAAGAGGAAGTGCGCCAAAACTTGTTGGTTTTTGTCTTTGAGGCATTCAACCGACACTTCATCTAAGATGTCATCGAGATTGGATACCCTAAAGACCCCCAAACATCTCTACCACACCGATGGTATTCCAACCTTACCATTTTGGACATATCCAACTGTCCCACTCTCCTGTGTATTATGGTACCAATGTACTCGGATTTCCAACAAATTGAAAAGGTATGTTTGAGATATATAGTTTATGCATCAAAATTCATTTCTATTTTCAGATGCAAACCGTTCATAAGCGAAGTGTCATCACTCGACTTTCCAAAGTTTCAATAAATTTTTTAAAATCCCTTTCTTCTTTTTTTAGTTTAAAAATTTCAGAAATTCCAGCTTTTTTCAGACATATTGAACTCCATTTTGTGAATTTTGACTTTGAGCTCTAAATTGCCCATGTTTGGCCAAGATGGATTTTTGACCGCCGAATTTGGTCGAAATTCAAAATCGAACAAATATAGGCAATATGGGGCTCAAAATGTCAGAAATTTAATGCAGACTTCGAAAAGAATGATTTCCCATACTTGTGGGAGGTCTGGCCAAGTATTGGCGCCCGACACCTGAAAACTGAGAAAAAAACAACGTTTTTTCTAATTTCCTGTACACCCTATTTCCGGTGTCTAAAACAGACGTTTTTTTGGTTTCTTCTCTCATTGTTTTGTTCCTTCTCAGTTTTCAAATATATACATCTACGTATGCATTTACAAATCGATGAACGGTATTTGGTGGCATTTATCACCTCTTCGGTATGTTTTGAAACTGGAAGAATCTGAAAAATCTTTTTAATCACAAATTTTGGTTTTTTTTCGAGCAGGTTTTTAGATTCCTCATAAAATTTCCGACATTTTGAGCTCAAACTCGACCTATATCGGCTGAAATTGATTTTTGACCGCCGACCGCGGTCGAAAACCAAAGTTGAGCGAAATAGGTCGTGTTTGGGCTCAATATATTGCATTATGCAAGTTTTTCCAAGAATTTGAAAACCAGCGTGAAAATTGGCTATAAACAAAATTTATCAGAAAAATCTTCGAGCTCCGAATTTTGAAATTTTTGATTTTGGCTCCAAACTGATCCGAACAAGGTCAAATTTGAGCTAAAAACAAAAGCAAGCTCAATTCTTAAATTTCTCATAAAGTTTCTGAAATTTTGAACCCCATATTCACTATATTTGGTTCATTTTGAGTTTCGACCGAATTCGGCGGTCGAAACGGTCGAGTACGAAAGTTGACCAAGTATAGGCAATATGGGGCTCAAAATGACGGAAATTTTATGTAAAATTTGAAAATCGATTCCGCTTTCAAGTTGGAAAACTGCTTCTTATTAAAATTTCAGATAACATTTTACGGAATGGTAACAAATAGTTTTGTTCTTTTTGCTATTCGAAAAACTCCCTCAATGAAAGGCTCATTTGGTATAATTACAAAAAATCAGACGGTTTGTAATCTTGTTATGTGTTCCATTTTTTTATTTTTTGTTTTCCCACTGCAGATGAGGTGAGTTTTGAAAAATGGGATTTTTTTTCTGAAAATTCGAAAATTTTTTTATCGAAAGCCTTTAAATATTTTTAGCAGCGATTATCGCTTATTTTGTGGTTAATTTTTGAAATTCTCATAAAATTCAGGTCATTTTGAGCCCCAACTCGACCTGTTTCAACCCATTTTTAGTTTTGGCCGCGTCGACCGCCCGGTCGACGGTCTAAATCCGAAATCCACCAAATCCAATCGAGATTAGGCTCGAAATGTTAGAAATTTCATGAGAAACTCAAAAATTTACGTGAAACACACTGTAATTTGTGATTTTTCGAAATAAAATGGAAAATTTCAGCGGCTCCAATTTTCTCATCAGCCATTCTCATTTTATGGGTACTTTGGCCATGACAATATATGAAATTTCAAATGGATCTCATTTTCTGATATCATGCAATCGATTCTGTGCTCTTTTCTCGCCTATAATGTATGATACAATTTTTAAGTGAGTGATCAGAATTTTGAAAATTTTTGATTTTACGATTTTGGCTCCAAAAATCATAAATGTACAGTTTCGCCCAAAATCGAATCAAAAATATGAGAATTTGTTATTTTCAGAGTTTTCATTGAATTTCTGACAATTTGAGCCCCATATTGCCTATATTTGGTCAATGTTGAATTTCGACCGCGGTCGAAACGGTCGAAAATCAAAATAGACCGAATATAGGCAAGATGGGGTTCAAAACGTTGAAAACTTTATAGAGAACTCGGGATCTACAATTCAGGACGTTTGACCAAATTTAGAGGGAATTAATGCAATTTTTTGAATTTTGGATTTTTAGTGGTAAAAGTCAAAATGGCCCGATTTTGTTCGAACTTGAGTTCGAAACAGTGGAAGTTAAAATTTTTGAGCTCTCTATCAAATTCCCGACGTTTCAAACCCCATATTGCCTATATTTGACCCATTTTGAGTTTCGACCGCGGTCGAAACGGTCGGAGTTCAAAATTGACCAAATATAGGCAAGATGGAGCTCAAAACGTCAGAAATTTAATGAAAAATTCAAAAAACGCATTTTCAACCAATTTCAGACCTTTTGTAACTAGATATCTCCGAAATTCAATTTGGGTTTTATCAATTTTCTCTTGCACCTATTTTTACGAGATCCTTAAATGCAATTTTTTCTACAACCCTCAAACCTGGACATTTGAATTTTTATCAACGGATTACTGTAGTCACCTAACCTGGTTTACCGATTTCACATTCAACACTACAGCTACAGTAATCACATTGCTCATCAACCTGTCGGCGGCCTATAAAGAACGAGTGGCTTCTCAGAATCTTCTAGATTTGGCGGGAATTCAAAAATCAAAAAATCAGAAAAATCGAGAATGGAATTTCGTGAAACAAACTTGTTTGCAGGGGATTTCTTGTTTTTTCGGACAATTTGCTTACTATTTTTTGGCACCTGTGATTTCTGAAAATTCTACAGTACTCCTTTTTGTACTTGCCACGTTGTGGGCGTTCATGTTGGCGTTTGAAGGGTGAGGATTTTTAAATTTTAGTTCAAAACAGTGCAAATTATGATTTTCGAATTTCCCATCAAATTTCTGACATTTTAAGCCCTATTTTGCCTATATTTGGACGATTTTAAATTTCGACCGTCCGCGGTCGAAACGGTCAAAAGTCAATATTGACCAAATGTAGACAATATGGGACTCAAAATAACGGAAATTTCACGAGGAATCTGAAAATCACAATTTCAAGTCGGCCAAACCGAGTGGAGAGTAGTGAAAATTATAATCTCCCAAGATTTTTTCGAATTCCCGTTATTTTGAGTCCCATCTCGCTTGTATTTTTTCAACTTTGATATTCGACCGCGGTCGAAACGGTCGAAAATCAAAACTGACCAAATATAGGCAATATGGAGCTCAAAACGACAAAAAAAAATCATTTTCTTTTCAAATTGTTAATAAAAAAATTTTCAGTGGGATCATCTTGGCATCGAATCGAGAAATTCGAGGCACATTGAAAAAAAGTGAGAAAATTGGAATTTTTTCAAAAAAAACATTTTTTCAGCTACTACATCAGTATTCGTCATTGGTTATAAACGAAATTCAACTAGATAAACCAAAATCAATAAATCTGAAATTTTGAGTTTTTTTTTTCAATTTTTCTGAGATTTCCGAATTTGGAGCCAAAATTCCGAAAAATACAAAATTGCTCATAATCGGTTGTTAAAGCTCAAAATGAGGGAATCTGATGATTTTGAGGTCTGCATCAATTTTCTGAGATTTTGATCCCCATATTGCCACCAGCATATTTGCCGCGCCTTCGGCGCGATGAGACCTATTCATTGTACTGTTCGTCGCTCCGCTTCTCACTTTTTCATTTTTCTTTCTCAAAGGATCACACGGTGAATAGTTCACGAATAGCGCACAACTGGTGATTGTTGACGCGTTTCTCGTGCATCGATAAAAAAGCAAAATTCAAAAAGTTCAAAAGAGAATTCGTTTGCTCGTGAACCGGCATAGTGATGGATTTGAGAGTCTAGGCATCACTTTTTCCCTCAATTCTTCCCTTTCTAGGTCATTCCACGGCAATCCAAGGTAAAAATTCGACTCTTTTCTAGTTTAGAGGTCCCAAAAAAGAATAGAGGTCCCAAAAAAGAATAGAGGTCCGAAAAAAAATTAGAGTTCCCAAAATAAAATAGAGGTCCCAAAAAAGTTTAGTGGTCCCAAGAAAAAATAGTGGTCCAAAACTTAAAAATGCACAGATACCGGAATAATGTACTAAAATTTGAATTGTGTAAGAATTTAAAGTTTTGAGGTCTTATAGCAAAATAATTGTTGATGATATATTTTATACTTCTAATAGGCTTAGGAATACATATTTTCTGACAATTATCTAAGCCTGAGAAACATCATAATCACGGAGTGATTACTGTATTGCCCAAATTTTCCTCATATGTAAATTGGGTTCATCGGCAAGATGCGAGAGAATTGGAGCTAAAATTGTTAGGAGTAGTCATGTCATCCTATAAGACCCTAAAACTCAAACTACTCGCACAGTTCAAATACTAGTACATTATTCCAACATCTGCGCGTTTTTCGTATTTTGGACCTCTATTTTTTCTTGGGACCTCTAAACTTTTTTTGGGACCTCTAATTTTTTTTTCGGACCTCTAAATTTTTTTGGGACCTCTAAACTAGAAAAGAGCCAAAAATTCTACGCCAAAAATAACACGCCGAATAAATACCGTAAAACCTCTAATAGAACGACACCCGGATCGTCCACTTTGAGCCTATATATCTCATTTTCTGTGAAAGATATCAAAAAGTGGCTAACTAGTA